TGCTCATAGGTTTGTGGATTAAAGTCAGGGTCTTCTATACGGTTCCATTGGTCGACTTCTCTGTTTTTATGCCAATACCAAGCTGTTTTTAATACTGTAGCTCTGTAATAGAGTTTGAAGTCAGGGATGGTAATGCCTCCAGATGTTCCTTTATTGTATAAGATTGTTTTGGCTATCCTGGGTTTTTTATTTTTCCATATAAAGTTGATTATTGTCTTCTCCAGATCTGTGAAGAATTTTGATGGGATTTTGATGGGGATTGCATTGAACAACTGTTAATTTTTATTTTCCAATCTGCAACATGGGGTCAGGTTAATATCAAGTTCAAATGAGGTAATAATGAGTGAGCATGAGATGTTATAGATACTGTATAAATTCATGTTTCTTCTCTATACATACTTCCCAGTTTTTGATGTCTTTATATGTTACATCTTTCATCCCATTTGCCTTCAGAAATTAAGGCTTAAAGCAATAGAGAAATTTTGCATAGGTCAGATGACCACCGAGCAGTGACAGTCGACTGCTGACTCTGCGCTCAGTGTCTTTTCCTTCCTGTCTCTAAGTATACAGGTGATAAATGGGGTTTGCGTAAAACTAGACTGGACTAAGAGAGTGTCGAAGTCACCATGCTTTCATTTTGACGGTGGCTTTGAAATGACTAAATCCAGACGGATTATCTCTTCATAAGGCAAGTTTGTGAAGAAAGAGCATAGGGCGCTAAATCTAAGGTAAACTATGTAAGAAGTAGGATATTTGCATGTTTTAATGAGTCTCCCCACTGACGGCTTATTAGTACCACAGACAGAGATTTCTGCTCTCCTGGGTGATATACCAAGAAGGACACAGCAGTATATTTCTTCTGTTGTGGGTAGAAAAGTATAGCCTGAATCTAGCCAGGTATATGTATCAGATGAGCCCCAAATAAGGGATACTCAAGACAGAAGAGTGGGGGAGGAGTGCACTGTTCTCCCAAAGTGTCAGTGGCATGGAAGAAGTGACAGAGTCCTGGCTGAAGGAAACCCAAGAAATAGGAGAATGGAATACCTAATTCTAGACTGAATGCTTTGCTAGAGAATAAAACATTACCAGAGCAATGGCTGGGAACATAGCTCAGTGGCAGAGCACTTGTCTAGCGCTTGCCAAGAGCTTCTACAATCCCCCAGCACCAGCTAAACACAAGAAAACGGTACAGAGGGTGAGAGAGCTGGGCATGAAGATACACGCTTGCAATACCAGCATTCCAGAGGTAAAAAGACAGGAGGACTGAATTCAAGGCTGGCCTGGGCTATATGAGAACTTGTCTCAAAAAGTACATAAATGAACAGGTAAAAAATCGACACAGATGATCTATTCAATAACATTATTTCAACGTTCAATCACAAGTTGTGAATTCTATTTTGACAATCTTATTTTTAGATGTCCACTCATGAATTTGAGGCAAAGTGAAACAATATATGCAACTTACTCTCTAATGATAGATGGAGTCAAACAATAACAAAAATGAAATATGGGCAAATGCATGAGGGTGGTCTTTCTTTGTCCAGTTTTTATTCCTATAATTTAAAAGAAAAACTTTAAAATTATCTATAAATAAAAATGACTGAAGAAGGAGACCAAGAGGACTGTGAAAGCTGAGTTTTGGTCCCAGGTATTTCATACTTGCTCAGCATTCATTGCCAGTGAGTACAGGGCAGACAGGAGCCAGGGACTACAGCCCCTTCTTGTCAGTTAGACTTTGGATGAGTTTTTTCTTTGAAGAATATATGCATTTAAGTTCCCTTTGCCCCTTCCCATGGGTCTTCAATTGTAAGAAAATAAAAATATTACCAATGCTGAGAAAGAAGCTCTGTTTAGGAATACACTGCAACCTGGCTTTAAGAAGGCAGAGGCAGGTACATCTTTGTGAGTTCAAGGCCAGCCTGGTCCATACAGGAAAACAATTCCTCAACAAACAAACAGCCACTTTAATGAGCAGGCCAAGGAAAGGCCATGAAGCAGCAGACAGAGGCATGAGAGGCCCAGGGAAGAAGGAAAACTAAGATTGAGTGTCTTTGCCTGAGACACAGACTGAGGGCAGATGGGCTGTGATCTGAGCCTTGACAAGGCATGGACTTCCAGGGTTTAGGGACAAAGGGCACTTGGAGGAAATGTGGAACAGACCTAGGAGTTAGCCATGGGTCCTTCAAAACATGAAGAAGACACCACACAGTCTATTCTAGCCTGAACATAGGTAAGCAAGAATGCTAAGAGCCTTATGGGGTTTGAATTCAATACTAAACTTCAGGTACAGCCACCTGAGGCCAGTGAAGCCACCATACCCGATCTGGGTGTGAATGAGATCACCCGAGAAACATGGGATGGAATCCAAGGTGGAATAAGCATTCAATTCCCCAAGTCCCCAATCTGGAAGACATATGCCACCCAGAGAAAAATGGGTAAGTTTCAGCAATGAGTTCTTTTTGCTTCATTCAGTGGCTTGGGACTTATTCCCACAGTAAGATAGTCATGCTTTTCTTCATAAATGTGAGTTTTCTTTTTCTTAACAAATTCATTCTAAATTTAGATCTTAAGAGAATCTTAGGAAGAAAGACGATGATGGATGAAATTAAATAATTTAAAAATCATTAATGGGGGGCTGGAGAGATGGCTCAGAGGTTAAGAGCATTGCCTGCTCTTCCAAAGGTCCTGAGTTCAATTCCCAGCAACCACATGGTGGCTCACAACCATCTGTAATGAGGTCTGGTGCCCTCTTCTGGCCTGCAGTCATACACACAGACAGAATATTGTATACATAATAAATAAATATTAAAAAAAATTAAAAAAAAATCATTAATGGGAATAATACAAGCTCATCAAAATATGGTATTTCAGAAGGCAAACACTAACGTACTTTGGGTGGTGGCTAGTCACATCAGGCTAGTAATATCAGGCACAGAATCCAATGAAACTAGCTTTGAGGAAAATAGGTGTGAACTAAGAAAAGGGACAGTCTCAGCTACCCCCAGAACTGCTTTCTGTGTTCTCAAGGCAACACTACCTCATGTCACTGGGGTCTTCAGGGTACCAGCCAATGGACCTTTTGAATTCCTGCAGAGTCTCAGTGGGGCTTTAAAATGGCTAAATTCACCAGAAAGACAACACTGTACCACTGACTGGCACAGGAGCCTCACCTCTTATCAATGTTACTGGTTTCCCCGCCACCAAAATACAATCTACAGGGTGATCCCAGTTACCAGTATTACAAATAGTATCAACATGGAAAAGCATAAAACTCAGGATTCTACAAAACCCTGTCCTCCCCAATGTAGCCTATAAATATGGGGAGCTGAAAATTAAACAATACCAAGTCAGTGGTCCGTAGATGTCCCTAGGAAGTAAGCTAGGGAGAGGGCTTGGAAAGATGAAGGAACATTTGCCTTGCCCTTCCTCAGGATGGGCGACTTAGCTCCAGTATTACTGAAATAAAAAGGCTTAGAGAGCACAGCTAGAGAAGCGTGAGGCCCCGCCTGATTATCTGGCAACAAACAGCCTAGCACTTCCTGGTTTCATCATTTCCTGAGCATAGATGGGTCCAGTAGCCTAGGGTGAGAACAAAGGCTTTAACAGCAAACAGACCTGTATTTTAGTCCTAGATCAACATGGAAAAATAGGTGAACTGTCTTAGCCTCTATCCCCACATTGTGCTATGCAAAAAGAACCTAAGATGCTACACTAAGTGACTGATCACAGAAGACCAAACACTGAACGGTTCTATTCAGAGGATGGACCAAGAACAGGTATAACCAGGGAGACAGAAAAGAGAATAGTGGTTGTCAGGAGCTGGGGGAGAGAGAAGGGAAAGTTAGAATGGTGAGAGTGACGGCTCAACAGTGTGAATATGCTCATGCCACTGAACTGCATGCTTACAGATGTTGAAAATGCTATGTTCTATGTTATGTATTTCCTACCACAATTTTAAAGATTCAGTCAAAATAAACCATGAGAATAATAATAATCATTCACAAAAATGATGCTTCAATTGCTGACATTTAGTTCTAGTTCAGATAGCCTAGTTAAAAATTTGAGAGGCTAATTTTTAAAAACCTAGACCTAGGAGTATAAGGGAAAAGAAACCATGTCTCTAAGGGAGTGCTCACGTCACAATCGCTTACTGAGGAATGTGATTTTCTTTCGTTGCCAAGACAGCAACTGTTGCTGTGGAAACCACACAAAAACAGGGACACTTAACTGAAACAAACTCCACTCACCTGCACAAAGATGCCCTTGCTCTTATACTCCTCATGGAGGCACTGAGAGAAGAAATCTACAAAAGCCTAGGAGAGAGGTGGGAGTGAGAAAGAAAACACATATATTACATCAATCTGCCTGGAGTGTAGCCATAGAAACAACAAATAATAAATTAACCATTTAACACTACTGTTTCTAGTCATTTCTTTCATTTCAAATGCAGAAGAGATAAAAATACCTTAAAACCTCAGGAGGTTTTTCTACCATAAATGACATTATCTTACCAAATTTAATATTTTACCAATTTTGACTTAATTAGAAAAGGTTCCTCCCCCCAGGAAATTATCCCCCCAAAAGGAAAAAATTCATTATATAACAAAGGATATGCTTCCATTTTCTACTTGCCATTCTAGCAGAAACCTAGAGTGAATTCTGTTGAGCTGTTTTGCTGCTGGGTCCTGTGACACTGCATGATTTGAGAAACACATCTGTAAACTGTGCCAGCCACTTTTCAAATGTGGACTCAGTATCAGGCTTAAAATGCCAAGTTTAATGACAACCCAATGATGGTCTCTATTGACAATAGTCTACCTCTGTGGAGAACAAACCAGATACTGGAATTCTAACACAAGATGTCATGTAAACTGCTGACAGTGTGTGCCAGCCACAGAGAAAGCAGGCAGATCATGGGGCTGAGGGGCTGTGCCAGAGCTCAGAAGACAGGAACGACTGATTTTCCTCATGTGAAAAGGAGGTGTGTTTTACACTTTTCCTTCTCTGACAAACAATAAGTTCTTATAATGTATTATGATTTGCTTATTTTCCCCTAAAGGCTTACTTAATTTCAAACAATTAAATGGTTGTTCTTTTCCCTTCAGAAATGTTTTCCATGCCTCAGTGAAGTATCTGAAGTTGAGGCTATTGGCCTGTAGGCAGGAGAAGACAGTCAGTCTAAATTATGATCCTATCAGCAATGTAAGGAAGCGAATGACAATGATGTATGATGACACAGAGTAACAGAATTCTAGAAAACATGGCAGAATATTCACACTGCTGTTGGTCTATTTCTTGTCTGCTGAGTATATGTGTGGTGCTGGCAGGATGCAAGTCCTTGCTGTGGGAAGCTGACTTGTTCATGTTACCAACACTCTTGACTTTAGACTCATTAGTATTAGGTTCTATCACTTGGGCAGACTGGTTTAGGCTAGGTCTCTATGGAAAGCATAAGTGTCCCTGTTAAAATCAGCAAACTACCAGGGAACAAAATCAGTGGCTGTGATACACTGGTATTCCACTTGTAAGTCTACATCTATCTGTGATATTCCAGAAATCCATGTGGGGCACCTTGCTGTCCTTCTTGGTCCACTGGAAAACTCCCAAGCATAGCATTTCAACAAAGTTGAAGCTATAGTAACTGCTTGGACTAAAAGTCACCCTCAGCCTTATACTGGCTTCATTGACTGCAATGCTTTTCACCTTGGTCGCAGAGTAGATGGTCAGCAGTGGAACTGGGAGCATGCCGCTGGCAGATGAGATGTTGAGAATCACCCCTTTAGATCTAGAATTGAAAACACACTACATAAGCAGACGGAAATTATATGCACATTTGCTTGGGAATCACAGTAAGACAGAAACAGAGCAACAGGGCTGCTGCTCTCACACACGTCTCCCTGCCGCTCATGAGCATGTGGCATGTCTGGCTGGTGAGCGAAGCATAATCCCATGAGCTAAAAATAGCTCTTCTTTACGATGAGCTCATTTCCTCGTCTAGGAATCCAAAGCATGACTGCATCTGCGAGATGTCTCCTTTAGTTGTGCCTATACTCTCTGGAGTCCTCTGTGGACACAGCATCAAAAACTCTCATTCACACAGTGGGGATACTGCAGGGGGGAATGCTTGCCTAGCATGCAAGGCACCGCAGTCAATCCCAGCAGAGCAAAAGCAAACTGACACCCACACAGACACCTCTGCTCTGACATACTGTCACACTGCAACAGTCCATTGTGTATGTGTAAACACTTCCCTCTCAACAAAGCCTACTTTTGTTCCCATATAAATCAAGTATTTCATACACCTCTTTATAACAAAGGTGACAACTTTATGAATTCCCTAGGCTGTGAGTAATCGGGCAAAGAGCTACCTTGAAAACTGCATCTCTGTACTTCATTAACTATATTATATTGCCAAAAGATGAAGTTCAACTTTTCCTGTTCTTTTAGAGACTACTGAAAGTTAAGTCAAGCACCTACCAGGAATTTGTTTCTACAGATAAACAGAATCAGTTTGTGAAAAGCAATGTTCTAAAGACCCCAGTTGTTAGCAAGCACATAAAGGTTCAGCAAGGTGTAGAATTATAACTTTAGGAATATGAAAATTAGGTACCAACTTGCTCTCTCAAAGGGACATTGGGAATGGAACCCAGGGTCTTATGGCCAGGAAGGTGCTCCGCCAGCTGACCTAGGCCCCAGCCCAGCCTCTCTTCTCTAGCTACTGAAATCTCACCCCACCACCTCTTGCTCACACCTCAGCTTCCTTTCCTTCTACATAGTCTGCTGTTGTCCTCTGTCTGGCTTTCTATTCCTAAGTCCTGTTTTTTCACTATTTCGGGGAGGGAGAAGACCTCTTGATGTAAAACAGCATAGGAAATATGATTAAATGGCATATATGAGTTATTTTGGACACAAATCCGAAAAGAAATAATCCTCAAAGGTCACGATTCCATCTGTCAGCTTCTAGGCAAGATGCTACTGCAACCATTGAAGGGACTGAGCCCTCTGTTTCATATGTATCACCAGAGACTAGTCAACTGTTTATAAAACAGTCCTTATTAGTAACACACACTTTCCTAAGCAGCAAGACCCACTAACACCTTGGTGATAAAAATTAAATTTCAAATTTAAGAATGATATTAAGAATTTTTTAGGTTAGAAGTGGTTAATGTATTAGTACATCATCCTTATATTGATATCTTTTTTTTTAAAGGCAAAAACGGATTTTTTTTTAATCAAAAGTTAGAACTCAGGCCTTTTAGATAAAAATAATAAACTAGCAATAAACACCTAGTGTTTTCAGCTATAAGAAATTCCTTTGATGAAAGTGGAGCAAAAGAATCTTTTATTACAATGAAAGATTGTCCCTTGGATAAAAATGGAATGAGAACTACATCTTCAAAATTACAATTTCAGTGTTGAAAATATTCTCAATTAGACTGTAGTGACAGCTGTCCAGCTCTGAATATGCTGAAAATGACTGGACTGTACAATTTAGACAGATGTGTAGTTCACATGTAAAATAAGCCAACAAATCTGTGAAACACAAGGAACATCTGTTTCTAGTAGAACACATACCCTTTAGGATGGGTGGGATTCCAATGAGGTGGGCGCACAGGGCTACAGCTGCTCAGACAACCATGCTTCCTGGGTAGCAACTCCACCCTCACAATCACTCCACAGTAACCTTTAGCCAGGAACTGCTCCATCTCAACCACCCAGTGGAAGGGAGAGAACGCTTGTCTGCAGCAAATTCAGGCACTGCTGTCCTTGACGCTGCAGCCTGCCATCGCTGCTTAGAGCCAGACGTTCTGTTACAACCATGCTGGCTGGGGCGGCTGCACACCCTTGAACAACAGTCACATCTTTCATTCTGTTACCCACAAATGGTGTGTAAGGTTGAAGGTAAAAGGTTAAAATTTCATGCTATGGCTTCATTAGAGAAAAAGTCATGTAAAGATATTAAAAGCTCTTCTCCCATTTTATAAAATACCATCAACAACCTAACATATCACAATGATGCAATCATTCTTTTACTTACCTATTCTTGAGGTAACTAAGATCTTTGTTTCTCAAATATTCTACTCTGACTGAAAATGTGTAGGAGCCGAAGAGATGGGTTGGCACACTGGATATTATTGCAAAGACCTGAGTTCGATTCCCAGAACTCACATGGCAGCTCACAGTTATCTGTAACCCCAGAGCTAAAGAATCAATGCCTTTTCTGCTACATGTGGTGTACAGACTTACATGAAGGAAAAATATCCTTACATATAAATTAAAAGTGAATAAAAGCCCAAAAGAAGAAAAGGAAAAGGAGAAAAGAAAGAAAATTACTAGTGTGTAGAGCTACAAAGTCAAAATTTTCAAATACTTTCACAAAAAACAAAGTACTTATATTTCAAAATACAACAAAACATATTCAAAACTGTCAAAGTACTGTATAAAATGAGAATGCACTAGATGTGAGTAAATACACAGCCCACTCATAATTGTGTCTAAACGACAGCAGAGAAAGCACCCCACCTACCAATCTGCCACACTGTTGAGATTATGCATACTTGTCTACTAAAGACCTTCCTATGACTGCCAGTAACAGCATTCAGATCTCTCTCCTCCAGGGAAAAACTATTCTATTTCATTTTGTCTGCACCCCAAATCGAATACTAGTACACCCTGTCACAATCTCTGTAAGGTATCTCCTTATGCAGAAATGGGGTTGAATATTTGGGACTTAGGGGTATAAGGGCCTCATCTTTACAATCAACTACTTTGTCTAGCTCTAATCCTTCTAAGCAGAATTAATGACGTTAAACCAGTTTCCATGGCAGAGCCAGGCTCATGACAACTGTTACATCAAGCAGAAGGGCAAAATAGGCTACGCCTAATTGCACACAGAGACAAACATAAGTCAAGCTGGTTAATCTCTCACCTTCTAGAGGCTTGGGAATAATAGAAGGACATTAAGAATTTCTTTGAAGGTCTATTATTGAAGACCCGTCTTGCCCATACTTCGACACATTTCCTAGTTTGTTGTGACATCAGATAAACAAATGAAGCAACATTTTCTGTGGTGCAATATTCGTATCTGACCGCGCCGCTTACTTGCTAGCCATCCTGTGATGGTGACCGCGCCGCTTACTTGCTAGCCATCCTGTGATGGTGACTTGGAGGTACAGACCTCTGAGGAGCTACAGGAACTAAAATGCTGCTGAAACAGCAGAACAATCAACTCCACTTAAAGACACACCTCTTCATCTCCACAGTTACCTCCTTTTCATTAGTCCTCCTAGAAGCCAGCCAATAGGCTTGTCTGGTCCTGTAAAATTCAGCATCTTGCATTTACAGCTTCCTTACAGCTAAATTCCCTAAGATTCCCTTAGACTTCAGCACTCCCAACCCCCGCAAGATTCCCTTTAATTGTCACCTGGATTAAAAAAAAATTGCCAAGCTTTTGTTCTATAAATGCCTCACTATTCTGTCAGGCTCTTGTGGCATCCCTGTCCTCACCTCTATGAACACTGTGGCTGTGGAGGAATAGTCTCTTTTGAAAAAGAGTCAGATTCTGGCCTGACTCAGGAGAGCTCAGCATTGCCCCACCCTGCAGCAGAGGGAAGAAGGGAGGAGAGCCAGAGGTCAGTCCGTGTAGACTGCTAACCAGTCACAGAGTTGTGAGATACAGACTCCATCTCAGTCCTTTGTAGTTCCACTACACATGAGAGAAGACAGAAGTGCACTCTTGCAGGGTCATTACAGAGTTTTCTAAGCTTAGACGGAAAACGGAAATTGGTGTAGACAGTTCTCTAATTAACTCCTAAGAACACAGAGAAACTATCAAAACAGAGCTCAATGTCAGAAAAGAATCATGAAACATGGGGTCAGGCATACAATTAGAACCAGCAATCAAATGCTCACACTATACAAATATTGCTTTGTTGAAGAAAGTTTGCAAACATTTAGCACATGAAAGAGAATTACCTGCCCTAAAACACCATAACATGTCATAATTCCACCTTAAGCAGTACAATATGAAAGAGGCTATTTTTAGCCTTTCCACAGTTGTTATGGCAACCACCTCTCAGCTCCAGCTGTACACAATGTTTATAATTCCAGGGAAGTAGAGAGAGCAAGTTTCCTGATAATGTAATTATGCACTTTCTCTGTGTGTCGGTGATAATGTCAGTCTGATTACTGATGCTTGTTTATTGATAGTAGCTTGGCTATAGTTCTAAGGCTTGGAAAAATTTCACACATCAGAGATAGAATCACTGAAAGGGAAGAGGGCAAAGAAACCACCAACAAAGGGCTCCTTCTAAAGGGCAGCATTCCATTCTAGCTGCTCTTCACACCTCCCCAAAGTGGCCTGTCCTATGGTGGTTTCCATAGGATTGGTATTCTCACTGAGTAAGAGCACTTGTAAGGAGCCTGGCATTCCTTATGGACTAGGTAGAAAAATAAGGGAAAAGAAATCTTCACTATGATAAATCATGAAGTTACAAAGTTAGGGGTTAATCTATCACTCCAGTCAGAACATACTGACTAATATACCTATTAACTCCTACAACTCCACTTGACATGGACGTCCCTTGTGCTAACACAGAGTACTGATTAATAAGCTCTACACATGTCTAACTAGTCCTTGGCCAGCACCACAAACACCACCCCTCTCTACGATTCCAGCTTTCTACAGCTTCTATTGGCTTTCTACTAGGTTGTTTCTCAACGTCAGCATAAAAGCAACTTGAATTCTTGAAAGGCAAGGATTGAACTCATTTGGATTTTCCAAGCTAAGCTCTGCTGGATGAACATGAATTCCCCTCTTCATGCTGGTCTTTCATATCCAATGTCAGCTGTAATTGGTGGCATTGCCAGGTCTAGAAATGGCCCTAGATCTCTAGATCAGTCTCTAGATCTGCCTCTGCTTCATGTGCTTCATGGCACCCCATATCACTGAGTCCTCACCTTCTGCAGACCTAAACGGGGTGGAATTACTTTCAATTAATGCAATGATCTGGGCTTGCCATTCTATGGATACAAGACTTTCTGCTCCAGGAAATGACTTCAGAGCCACGACTTCCCTTTATATAGTTTTTACAGTGTACTTTAAAAAATTCTTTCATAACACTTCTGTGGCACACAACTTTGATGTCCTTATTTTGTTTTTTGGTGTTGGAGATGGACCCCCAAGGCATGCTAGGCAAATGCTGTATAACCGAACCCTACTCCAAGTCCAAAGATTTCTTTTTAGTGCCATTGCAGATGTTAAAACTCAGATTAAGACAGTGGCTCAAATTTTACTTATTGGATTCTACTCTTCCCTCTTAGAGTTCCGGTATGGTTTGATCACTGTCATCTTCATGTCCTATCTTTGGAAGCATGCCCCACTGTCGGTCAATACTCAGCTTGAAGGCTTTAAAGGGAAACCTTACTAAAATAAGACAATTAGAATATACAAATCAGTACATTAAAACAGGATTAAAGTTTCTTAACCAGTCACTGCACTGCACGTGATCAACAGTGGACTCCTAAAGGCTGTTTCCTCACCCACAAGGTGGAATGCGGCACCACATATGGAAGGATTTGATATGCATAGACTTGCTAGTCTTTTTCTGTTTGTTTTCTGAGATGGGGTTTCTCTGTGTAGTCCTCGCAGTCCTGGAACTCACTCTGCAGGACAGGCTGGCCTTGAACTCACAGAGATCTACCTGCCTCCACCTCCCAAGTGCTGCGGTTAAAGGCATGCACCACCACCAGCCGGCATCTGGTCTTTTAACAGAAGTGGATCCTAGTTTCATTCCTCCCCAGTCAAAGCTTGACTAAGTGCTAAAATAAAATGACAAGCTGGCCTAACAGTCAAACCCAGCTCTCTTCAGCAGGTTTTCTTTGAATGCCTAGGCCAACATTTAGATTCCTGTGACAAGGGAACAGTTAAAGTTTACACTCAGTGTTATCTATCTCACATGTGAAAACGCAACCACCCCTTTCTCAACAAAAGTGCAGACATTTAGGGAATTCTCCAATTCCAACTGAAACATTAGTAATAGTGGACTTTGCTTTTTCCTCTAAGTGTCGGTCGGACATCTGGTCACTTTCCACCATGCCTTGTCCCTCTGGTGTCCACTCCCTCTCTGGAAATACCAGAGGAATGCATCTTACTTCAGGATACTCTACCAATTTAGGCTCTACGTGGCTACAGCTTTAAGGAGGCATTCCCGGGAATATCCCAGGAACTCTATCCACCCCCTCAGAATAGCAGGCAATTGAGTTAGTGATAGTGACTCAGGCTGGCTTTTTAATCCTGATCTAAAGGAACCACCGCAACCCTAGAGAGGGAAATAACAAAGTCTAGTGGAAAAGGCCTCCTCCACCAATGACTCATGCTCCACGGTGTGACTCGCCTGGTGCTAAGACAGAGTTGGGTTCATTAGTCACTTTAATGAAATTCTCAAAGAAAGGGTTCTCCCTATAAATAATAATGAGCTCTGCATCCACAGTGTTTGTGTGCGAGCGTGTGACTCACCTTTCTACCATTCCAGGCAGCACCAAGCGTGTCACCTGCAAGACAAAACAAAACATTCATGATGGCTGAGGACACAAGCAACAAAGGAGTGAAGGACAACCGCCCACACCAAAGAGAAGGGAATCACGAATCCACGCATCACTCTAAAGAGAGAAGCTTATTTTATACATGCCATTTAATTTTACTGTGCTAGGAGTACATAAGGAGAGCACACCGAGAAAGTTCTCTGTGAACGTGGCAAGATTAAGCCTTGTCCGAAAAGTAAGGCTGGCATGGGCACCTTCAAATAAGAAAGACTCTATAGTATGTGGACATCTCTTACGTCCATCCCAGAAGAGAATGAATGTTATCACATGTAACATTTCACCTACGAAGATGACTTAGGCTTTCTAATATTAAGACCTCAAATCTTAATTCGATCTTTTCTGATCAAAAAAGGCTTTATGGAGGCGAACGATAGCAAATTTGACAAATAGTAAGTGCATTCTTTTTTTCCCCCAAGGTCCAGCTAGCTGTGAGCAAAAAACTGGTAACTTTAACCATTTGTGGTCTGTAGTAACCAACAATGAAAAGGTGACATGTGCAGTTTAGCAACTTCATAATTACTGGCCAAATATACACAATGATGAGATAGGCTATCACTGAACTGCTTGGGGATATTATTCTTCAAGAAAAGTTCGAAGTGCAATCTTTGTCAGGATGACCTCACAGTTAATCAAGTCCTGACTCACCTTGTGCTGGTTTTCTAAGCAACACAAGAAGCTGAAATGCTTGGCAAGCACAGACATTTTAAGCCGTTTATATTGAGCAATATCATGCACCAATTAAAATGACAGCCTATTGACAAAAGACTGAAGAAAAGGCCATGAAGACTTTCTGCAGAGTGTGCAATGTGGACGTACAAAGGTCAGCTCAGGTCTGGTCAGTGCTCAGCGACAGCACTCAAGCTCTCACCATATCAGAAAATGGACTGACTATCACCAACTTCAGAGCAAGGACTGGCTTCAGAGTTTAGGGGAAACATTTCAACAGAAAGTAAGATCTGACCAAATCTTCTGGCCCAGGTGCAAAAGGAGAAACTGTAAACCAAGTATAGACAAGAGCTTCCCGTGTTCCCTCCTTAACTTTTAGCTGTCTTCCAGCATTTGCTCTTTCCTTATTAGACTGCAGATAAAGTTTCAGAGCCACTCTTGGTGGCTCCCATAAAAAAACATGTTTACAATTTCTCTGACAACTGCATGTGGCTTATAACTACTTTATAAGAAGTAGGACAACAACGTCTTGGTCATGGACTCAGAAAAGGAAAATAGGTTGTCTTCTCTGCCATCTTTTCCTCTTCTTTAATGTAGAAAGTGGATGAAGGGAAGGAGTCATCATGACATCAGAGTGAACGCCATCTGTGGTAGGGTGACAGGCTAAGGATCCCTAGGGACAGAGGAGCTACTGGGTAGCACTATCAGCACCCGTTCCACTAAGCACCCTGATTTTTAACTTGCTCTGAACCTGACAACCCATTTTGATTCTGTTTATGTTGTGAATGCATCTGTTACAAGACTTATCCAATATTCTCTTTTGTTTGTTTTGCAGTACGGGCATGAACCTTGAGGCCCCTTTCCCATGTTAAGCAGGTATATACTACTGCCCTAGGTACCCAGTCTTTTAGCTAAAACTCTAACTACCAAGATTGACCATTTACGTTGGTAAAGACTGATCAGTGTTAACATTTCATGACTCCTTCCCCAAAAGAATAGTTCCGCAAGCAAAAGATTAAATATTTTACAGTTTTGAAAAGACAATCCTCTCCAATTTTCTCAATTTCTTTGACCCAATTCAAAATGTCCCTACTGTGCTAGAACCAAGTCAGGGTAAAGGTTGACTTCAGAGTTTGTCTTTCCAACACAGTTACTTTCTCTTTCCTTTTCAGGTTAAATATGAATTTTAACTTTGCTCATGTTTTTCCCGATATTTGCCTTTCCAGAGGCAAACAATAGCTATGTAATACATAACCAAAGAATGTTAAGGCAACTGTGCACTCAGGCCCTAATTCCAGCCCTTCTTATGACAGTGTGATTCTGAGCTACATTCTTCTTCTCTGAAGTCCTAATATGTTAAATGAAGATTTAAATACACCATATGGTATTACATTCTTGACTTAAAATAAAGATGTGTATGTGTGTGTGCACGCGCATGCATGCGAGACCCCACAAGCAACACACCAAATACCTCTGAAGGGACACTGGTGTCCCCCACAATCACACTACACTACCCTTTAGCACCCAGTGCTACCCCTAAGCATTACATGCCCCATAGTTTAGAACCAAGGTCAGAAACACATTTCAACACATTTCAAGGTCATCCATTTCAATTGACCATACAAAAGTTTCTAGACATTTCTTTCAGTATTTTAAAATATTTCATTTGAGATCTCCTTTGGATAGTGGAATGATTCTAAGATTAGGTTGTAGTGATGATTAAAACTCTATATTTACCCAAAACAGACAAACAAAACTTAACACTCAAAGCAGAAGAATTTTGCAAATTCATAGTTTTAGGAGAACTAAAATCACAAAGTACTCTTGATGCAACTTTACAAAACCCAGGAGATAAAGACACTAAAAATATTCTCTGCATATCAACTGAGGGCTGGAGCAACACGAGAGAGTAAGGAGCCGTCCTTCTCTTTTCTCTGCAGTCACCAGCGTGGGTGAGAGGAACTCAAGACCCACAGCAGGATACTCCTAGAGCAGACAGGGCACTGGTGCTTAGAAAAGGGAGCAGCTACAGCTAGGAGCCAGGTAGAGTTTCAGAGATTATGGAAGTTCATGAGAAAAAAAAGTCAAACATCATTAACACTGAAAAGTTACAGAAAAGTTAATTTGAATACTTCATGCTTTTATAAAACCAACTGAAGCTCTGACATTACCTTCCCTGCCAATCAGACTCTAAGTGATAAATCCAACTCCAGGCCTTCTTTTCTTGAGCACATATACACAAATCATTTAAAAATATTCAACATATAAGTAGACAGACTTCACTATGTTCACATTAAATTTTCTCTAACATCACAATTACACAGGACCTTTTAAGTTGTTAAGTTTCATTTTACTTTGCATTTATTGACTAGTATCTTAATATAAGGGTATCTATACCCCTATACCAAGTATTTTATGAAATTTCACCGTGCATCTGCACTCTACTTCACAGCTCACAGGGTGTTTCTGTAGCTAATTCAATACGCTAATTTTAGACCATCTGCAGGTGATAATCACTGTGCCAGGAAGTCTGTTGTTTCTCCTTACATATTTCTAAAATGATGTTATCACAACTGTGAGCTCAGTGGTTAAGAATATTAGGTACATAGTAATAATAAATGTGACTTCCAGCCTTTTTTCTTTTCACTTGAGGTTGCCTCAACAAATGCACAGCAAGTAATTTTAACTCCATTCTATGGTGGTTGGAATGAGAATGTCCCCCACAGGCTCTGTATTTGAATACTTGCTCCCCAGTTGGCGCTATTCTTTAAGGAGGCTTAGAAGGTGCATGCAGCCTTGGAGGAAGCATGTCACAGGAAGCAGCTCTGAGGGCTTAAATACTCGTGTTATTTCCAGTTGGCTCTGGGTGGGGTTCAGCGTGCAACTTGATGCCATGCTTTCCCACCACGATGGCCTCTTACTCCTCTGGAACCACAAGCCCAAACAAACTCCTTCTACACGCTGCCTCCGTCACTGTGTCATATCACAACAACAGAAAAGCAACACACAGTTTTCCCCAAAGACAGAAGTCATCACAATGAGAACTTTTACAATAAGGAGAACTTCAAAGACTGCAGGAAAACACAAATGTTTCATAATTACACATAAACATTTATAGTAATGTTTTCACTAGTCCACACTACTAAAATAAGATAAAGACACTTTAAAACCTAAAAAGTTAATATACATTGTCTCACAGGTAGCTCTAGTATCACTTCATAAGTGGCACACAGTACATAAATGTACATAGATACATGAAGGGCTTCACAACAGCTTAAACTAGAATTCATGGGAGGAAGCCACATTTTCAAGAGTAAAATATTTACTGGTACACATATGCATAATCAGGCTAGGAAAGAAATATGAAGTTTATTTACCCCATACAAAATCACAATCACTATTACTGAATCATTTAGTTGAAACACATAACTCTAAAATTAACTTGTTGGCCTAGAAAAATCCTTGAAAATGTATTAAAATGTAGCCATCTGTGGCCAGGATTACACAGGATTTATTTTCTTCTTAGTGTTCATATAGCTTTCAAATATTTTTGGCAACAATCTTGCAGTGCTTTTATAATTAGTAAAGTTCTCACAATCTTATTTCTTTATTTCCCTTACTTCTAGAGGGGGAAAAAAAAAAACAGAAACAAAACTGTCAAAGCCTCATCTGAGTATTTTTCCTTTATTTCAACAGCAGCACTCCCTGCTGCTGGAGGAACTACATGCCCAGGTGGCTGTCTCGGTGTTCCCACTCTGGTATACAAATTGATATAATACACATATTAGGCAGCTTCTGGTACTTGGTCGTGTGTCACAACACTCCTATAGTGCTCAAAGGCTCTAGGGAAAAGACTATAATAGTACCCAAGGATCCAGGCAACGCTGTGCAGGCCTTTAATCACAGTACTCAAGATGCTGAGTCACAATCTTGAGTTCGAGGATAGCCTGGCCTACACCAAATTTCAGGGCAGCCCAAGCTACATAACAGGGTCCTATCTCAAGAAAAAGACCAATCAACCAAATTTAAGACACTTGATTTAATAAAATCTGTGTCACTACTACATGTGACTGTGGAATAAAGTAGAACAAGTTACCCATAACATAGGCCCAGCTTCATGAATCCAGGCTTTTCATGAGCAACATTAGGACATCTCCAATGGCTACTTTGTTCACCTCTGCCCTAACTCTAACTCCAAAGAAACCTGCTTAAATTAATCAAGTCTGGATTTAGGGAACTGAGAGATGGACCTCTACAATTCAGAGGGAAACAGTTTCTTATAT